ACAAGATACAGTAAGCCCTAGGGAGATAAAATGGACCAGCAGCTCTAGCCCCATGAGCTGGTTATTGAAATTACAAATATACTGTAGGATTTATTCTCCAAATGACACCTTCCAAATGGCAAGGGAGAGTTGTGGAAGAATTTCATTGCAATGTCCACGGTATTTGGGAAGCCATTATGGGAAGGGGTTCACTGTTGGCACACACAACTTCATAAACAAAAACTACTAGACAAAAAGGTCAAATACCAATGCCATCGTAGCAGGGGACTTCAACACCCCACTCTCACAATTAGGTGAACCACACAAAAAGATTAAAGAAATATAAGCATTCAAATGTATCACTGAATAAATGAACATATCTATATAACATTTCATCCAACAAAAGAATACACCAGTTTTCTCAGCAGCACACCGAACTTTTTTTTATGAAATAGACTATATGTTAAGCCATAAAGCACACCTACATAAATACAAAAGAATTAAAATAATCCCCTGTATACCATCAGAGTATAGTAGAGTGAAGCTAGGAATCAACAGCAAAAGAAACCACAGAAATTATGTAAACACATGGAGATTAAAGAATACATTACTGAATAATCAATGGATTAATCAGGGAAGGAATATAAAAGTTCCTAGCATCAAATGGGAACAGAAGCACAAGATACCAAAACTGATAGGACACAAAGAGGGAGGGAATTTTACAGCTGTAATGCACATGTTAAATAATTGTATAATCCTAAATAAATAACCTAATGATGCATCCCAAGGTCCTAGAAAAACAAGAGAAATCCAAATCTAAAATTAACACATGAAAACATATTAAAAAGATCAGAATAGAAATTAATGAACTCAGAGTTGGTTCTTTGAAAGCATAAACAAGATTGATAAACTCCTAGCCAATTTTCAAAAAATAAACAAAAAACGTGTCAATACAATTAGAAATTACAAAGGCAAAACTAACTCAAAGTGGCCAAATCCAGATTATAAGAAACTACTTTGAAAATTTATATTCCAATAAAGTACAGAACCTATAAGAATGGAGGAATTCCTAGACACATATCAATTACTAAAACTGAACCAAGGAGATATTAAAAACTCTGAGTAGAACAAAAATAGGTAATGAACTTGAGGCAGTACTGAAAGGTCTACCAACAAAAAAAAGTCTAGGACCCAATGGAATCATGGTAGAATTCTACCAGAATTTTAGGAAAAACTTAATTAATATTTTTCAAACTCTTCAATAACTTCTACAGAGGAAGGGTACTGCCAAACTCATTTCTGACAGCTAGCATTACCTTGATACCAACACCGAACAATGACTCTATCAAAAAAGCAAATCTACAGGCCAATCTTCTTAATGAAGATAAACTAAAAAATCCTCAACATGATACTGGCAAACAGAATGCTATAGATCATTAAAAAGATCATAACAGACCAAGATGGATTTATCCCAGACATGGAAGGATGGCTTAATATTTATAAATCCGTAACTGTAATATATCACATCAATAAAAGCAAGACAAGAATCACATGATCAACTCAGTAGACACAAAGGAAGGAGCCTTTGGCAAAATACATACAACGTGCATTCATGTTAAAAATCTTGAAGAAAATAAGATATACAAGGACATTATCTCAATCTGATAAAAAGCCATGTATATGACAAACCCACTACCAACATTTCAGTTAATGAAGAAAAAAATGAAAGCTTTTCTCCAGTCAGGAAGAAGGCAAAGGTGTCCATTCTCTCGCCACTCCTGTTCAATATAACACTTGAAACTAAGCACAACAATCAGACGAGAAAAGAAAAATAAAAGGAATACATATAGGAAAGGAAAGAAATAATCTATTCTTATTCCGAGATGGCACGATCCTTTACATGTAACCAAAAAACTCATCCAAAAGATTCCTAGAATTAATAAATTCAGCAATGTAGCAGGATATAAAATCAACACAAAAATCAGTAGTGTTTCTGTACACCAATAATGAACCCAATGAAAAGAAATAAGGATAAAATCTCATCCACAATAGCATCAAAAAATTAAATATTGGCCGGGCATGGTGGAGCACGCCTGTAATCCCAGCACTCGGGAGGCTGAGGCAGGAGGATCGCTGTGAGTTCGAGACCAGCCTGAGCTACATAGTGAGTTTCAGGTCAGTCTCAAATACATAGTGAGACCCTGTCTCAAAAAACCAAAAAACAAAAAATTAAATATTTAATGATTAACCTAACCAAGGAAGTGAAAGACTTCTGTAACAAAACCACGGTACAGTATCCTGAAAGAAAGAGACAGAAGAAGACAGTGAGAAATGGAAAGATGCCCCAATCCCTGGTGCAACCAATATTGTCCAAATGGCTATAGTATCAAAACTGATAAATGGATTTAGTGCAATCCTCCTTAAAATATGAATGGCATTTCTTCACAGAAATAGGTAAAAAACCATCCTAAATTATATATCCAACTAGAAGAGTAGAAGCAATCCTTGGTAACAAAAGCAAAGCAGGAGACATAATAATCCTGGATTTCATGTTATATTACAAACCACTGGCACAAAACAAACATTAACCAATGAAACAGAACAGAGGATGTAGAAAGGAGCTAAAAACATACCCTAGAGAAACCCTCTTTAACAAAAAATGCTCTGAAAACTGATTATCCACAGGCAGAAGAATGACTTTAGACTTATATTTCTCACTAGGTATTAAAATAAAACTAAAATGGATAAAAAAATTATTAAAACAATGAATCTTCTGGAAGATAAAGTGAGTAAAACTTTTGAAGACACAGGCAAATGCAAGAACTTTCTGAGCAGTACTAACTGCACAAGAAATAACATCTAGAATCAACAAATTTGATTATATCAAATTAAAAACCTTTTGCACAACGAAAGAAATTAACAAAACAGAGACAAACTATAGGAGGAAGAAATATTTTGCCAGCTACTCTTTAGGCAGACCACTAATATTAGAATATATAAAGAACTATAAAAAATAGACTTCCCCAAAAAGACCCAATCAAAAATGGAAACTGAAGTGAATAGATACTCCTCATAAGAAGTACAAATGGTCAATAAATACCTGAAAAATATTTCAACATCTCTGGCCATTACAGAAAAGCAAATTAAAACAATGAGATTCCATCTTACTCCAGAAAGAATGGCCACCATCACAAACTCAAAAAACAACAAATGCTGCCAAGGCTGCAAGGGAAAAAGGAACCCTTCTCTACTGTTGATGAGAATATGAACTAGTAACGGAGTACGTGCATTCCTTAAGAAAGTCAGAACAGAAATTTCATTCAATTTTACTATATTTTTTCTGGATATCTTCACCCAAAAGTTAAAGACATCATATTCAGTGATACATGCATACTTTTGTTTATGTTTTTATTTATTTTTGTTTTTTGAGACAGGTTCTTCCTATATATTCCAGGCTGGCCTCGAACTTAAGGTGATTATCCTGAGTCAGCCTACTGAGTGCTGGAATTACAAGTGTGTGCCACCTTGCCCAGCAACAAAACCTTGTTTAGAGTAGTACAATTCACAATAGCTAAATCTTGGAAACAGCTAATATGTCCATCAGCACATATGTGGATAAAGAAAATGTGGTGTGTATACACAATGGAGTACTACTCAGCCATAAAGCAGAATAACTGAGTCATTTATAAGAAAATAGATGCACCCTACAATGTTAGATTATATAAATTAGACCACAGAAGGTTAAATATTGCATGGTTTCTCTTGTATGAGGAACCCAAAGTATAAATAATTTCAAGAGCAAAATAAAAGATGATAGGAAACAGGGAAGTAGTCCTTTTGTAGACAGGAAAGGTACCTAGTGATAGAGAAGAGAGGGAGGGGAAGAAACAATACAGATTTGGTATGTATCTGTACCAATTCCTCAAGATGAATGTATTCATTATGTAATACAAACATGAATAAAAGCTTTTATTTTTTAAAAAAAGTCTTTTACTCGCCAAGCTCTATTCTAGATACTGAAGGTACAGTTTTGAAATGGAAAGACTGCTTGCCACTGTAGATTTTTAAAAAACAGTAAATAAATTTAATTAACAATATAACTTCATTAATGAAAAGTGCTAGGAAGAAACTAATCATGGCAGTGCTATTTTAGTAAGTGCTTTAGGTTTGGCACAGCTGCTTTACCAGGGGAAAGGTCAGGGAAGACTTCATGCAGGACATAAGATATGGCACCTCAATGCTAAGGGGGAGTCAGACATATATTCAGGCAAAGAAAACAAACAACAACAACAACAAAAACCCTGAGGTAGAAACAAACAGAAAAAGGTCAGTATTATTAGAATTAGTATAGTTATGCACCAGGAATTGTTGAGGTATCTCCCGACTATTAACAGTTAATACTATTATCTCCAGATTTTAAGTAAGGGCAGGGAGACTTGGTATGGCATAGGTTCAGAGCAATGCAGGACAAGGATACAGTAAAGAACCTGGATTTTATTTAATTGAAACTAGAATTCATTGAAGATTCCAATAATGAAGTGACATGATCTAGAATATGTGATAAGATTATTCTACATACTGAGAAATTTGAGTGGGGCAGGAGTGGAAAAAGGGACCAGTTAGGACTATAATATTCTAATAGTCAAGATGAGAGGTAGAGTGGTAGCAGCAGAGACCAAAAGAAGTAGATGTGTTTGGGTTCTATTTCTAAAATAAAATTGATAAAGCTTACTTATGGACTTAGGTAAGGTTGAGAGAGGTTTATTAAATTATTAAATCCTTACTCTTGGGACCAGGGATTTAGCTCAGTGGTGTTGCACCTACCTCTCAAGCCCAAGGTCCTGAGTTCGATCTCTGGTATGGGTGGGGTATCTTTAGTCTTTTTTGGTACTATAAATCAGTCACTATAGTTTTAAAGAAATACCACCAGATAAGTTATCTAATTCATCTAAGATAAATATAGTCAATGATATTTTATTTCTAAAATAGTATGTTCCTACTAAAAATTTTAAAATACTTACATTTCTTTCTACTTCAATTAATCTGTCTTTAACTTTTAGAAGCTCTCTAGTTGTTTCTTGACTTTCTCTCTCCCATTTATTATCTTCACCAGATACTGGAGGAGAGCTCTGCACCATCCTTTCCTCATCTTGTCTCTGCTTGAGAGCTTCATAATTTTTTTTCACCTAAAATTTTATTTAAAATATTTCATTGGAAAGAAAGAAATCAGTTATGTTTCTCACAATTAATTTGACTCTGCATTGGTCTGGTGAATGTGACACTTATTTTTAAATGTGTTAAACAGTATGTATGATTATCATTATTATCATGACAATTTAAACTTCTAAAGCAAAACATTTCCACCTAGAAATATTAAACATATTGTTTCTGTGGCATATACTCCTACAATATGTCATATAATTTCAAACTGGTTGTGATGAAAATGGCCTTCAAGAATAGATTACCTGGGCATGATGCCATACGTGTCTAATCCCATCTACCTAAAAGGCTGAGACAGGAGGAATGTGCAGGTTTAAAACCAGCCTGAGCAACTCAGGTCCTGTCTCAAAATAAAAATAAAGGGGCCAGGGATTTGGCTCAGTGGTTTCACTGCCTGTCTCACAAGCACAATATCCTGAGTTCAATACCTGGTAACGACAACAACAACAACAAAAAGCTGCAGATATAGTTCAGTGGTAAAGTGCTTGGTAATGAAGTATGAGGCACTGATTTTACACCCCAATACTACACACATACACAAAAGTACAGCACTTCATGAGTTTTTTTTTTTTTCTATTACTATGTTGTCTTCCATTATATGGATATATCAGAATTTGTGTATTCAATTACCATGTGATGGGAACTGAGTTATTTCTAGTTTTGTTATTTTTTTTTTAAATGACAAACGAAGGTATTATAAAAACTCAATTTTCTAGGCTGGGCATGGTGATGCATATCTGAAATCCCAGCACTTAGGAGGCTGAGGTAGGAGATATCGAAAGTTCGAGGCCAACTTGGCTTCCATCGGGAGTTCGAGGCCAGCCTGAACTATATAGCAAAATCTTGTCTCAAAAACAAACAAAGCAAACAACTCGAACCTCATTTATGTTTTCATTTTCATGGAATAAACAGAACTGTCATTTTTACAAACTATGTGTACATCTAACTTTATGAGAAACTCACGTTCTTTCTTTCTCTTTTGTTTTTGTACTGGGGATTGAACTCGGCCTTCAGACTGAGCTACATATCTAGTCTTTTTTATTTTGAGACAGGATCTTGCCATTAAGTGTCCCAGGCTGGGCTCAAACCTGTGAGCCTCCAGAGTGCTGGGATTATAGGGTTGTGCCACCATGCCTACTATATAATACTACTTTCTAAATTAGTTATGCCATCTTACATTCCCACTAGTACAACAGTTCCAGTTGCTTTAAAGTCTCACCAACACTTGATAAATATTTCAATATAAATTTTAGAGTTAGTGTGTTTATATATTAATTCTGCTGCTGGAATTTTGATTAGGGTTATGTGGAATCAACAGATTTGGGGAGAATGTGCCTTTTAACAGTATTAAGTAATCCAATTCATGAACAAAATTTTAGATGTTGCTAATATAAAGTTCAGCTTAAAAAGTGTTTAAAATTTGTAGTAGACTTCTTACACATATTTTCTTAATTTCATTCTTTAGGTAGTTCATATTATTTTATGGTATTATGATGGAGGTTTTCTTTTAACTTGTACTTTACAACTTTTCACTGATAAATCCACTTTAGTTATACAAAGTTTCCTGTAAAATTTTTGGGCTTTACTGTGAATATAATCATGTCAGAGAAAAGGCTTTATTTCCTTTAAAATCTGTATGCTTTTTCTTCTTATCTTAATACAATGAGTAAAACCAACAGTTCAACATTTAATAGATATAGTCAGAGCAAACTTTGGTTTCTTCCTGATCAGAAAGTAATTTTCACCATCAAGGATGATTACAATAGGTATGCATAAAAACTCTTTCCTGGTTGAAGTTCTTTTTACTCATTGAGCTTGGAATTAAACCATCAATCTCTATGGCTTTGTCTTTCTCCATATAGTTCTTTCAATATTTGTTTCATGTATTTTGAAGTTGTTATTAAGTATGTAAACATTCACTTTTTTTTTGGTACCGGGGATCGAACTTGGGTCCTTGCACTTGCGAGGCAGGCAGTGGAACCACTGAGCTAAATCCCCAGGCCCTCAATCTTTTATCTTTATGTTAAAATGACTCCTTTATAACTGTGAAATAAACTCCTCAGTCCAGGTATTTATTTATTGCTCTAAAATTTACTTTGTCTTCTATTAATATAGCCACGATAGTATTCTTTTGGTTAGGGTTAGAATTACCATTTTTCATCAAAGTTTTATAGGCAGCATCTGGTTAGGCCCTGTCCTTTTGGCTAAAAAAGACTATGGAATTTTAAATCTATACTTTTAGACCTGAAACATAACATATACCAACCCCACACCCACATTTATTTTCTTGTTGAGTAGCTTCATGGGGTTGACTTTTTTTTATAACCCACAGATATTAATTTGGTAAAAATTTCAGGACATAAAGCAAATAAAGAAAATGCAGCACCAAGACTTATTTTACTATTTATAGATACTCATTTATGTTAACTAAGCAAAGTTCTACAACTTATTCTATAACAACGTATGTTCCACGGCAAAGTATGTGACAAATACTAGTAATGATGGTGTAGGCAAATGGTCAACAAAACTTTCTCTCTTTTGCATAAAAAAATACAAGTTTAATTGTTTCTCTAGAAACCTTGTAGTAAATTTGAACACTTATGTTTCTAGGCATTATCAGTTTTAGGAAAAATGAACCCAATTGGTATTGTATTTAGATTGGAAGAACTATTAATACCCAACAGAAAGTCTTATCTCTAAATTCTCGATGAAGCAACTTTTATGACTGGTATGTGCATAATGGGAGGTGTGTGTTTGTGTGTATGTGTGAGAGATAGGGTTTCACTGTGTAGTCCAGGCTGTCCTCAGACTCAGTTATCCCTCTGCCTCAGCCTTCCAAGTGCTGGGATTACAGGTATACATCACCATACCTGACTGCAATAGAAATCTTAATAAAAATCTATGCCTTTGGAGTTGCCAGAGATAATGACTGCTGTGAAGCATGAGGTTACAAAGCCAGGTAAACTCCCCTTTACATCCAATGTAAATCTCATCTCACATCTAAGGCACTACTTGGTGGGAAGGTTGCAGGCAATTATATGAAAATGGACATGTGACACAGCCCTGTTATCTATTTGTATTTCCTCTAGTGTTTTGAGTACAGTAGTTTTAAATGTGGCCTACGGTAATCTGTCTAAATGTTTAGTTGACCTTAAAACCACTCCTGGGGCAATGCAGAGATCATAAAAGGAGCAATAAATCAAACAAGACTGTTTCATCAGCTAACACTGTGGAATGGGCAAATCTCTAATGTTTCAATTACTTACTTAGGGAAAACAGGCTCATTTCACTAAATAATCCCAACTGTATCACAAGAAAACAGGCATAGAGAGGACCTCACACTTATGAGGACTTGTTTATTTTATACCATAAATATGATTTCCCTCTACTTGGTATCTTCACAGTGACATATTTGCCTATCAAAATCTTATCTGGCTTCTCATTGAGAAGAGTGCCAAACTGAAATGTCTATCATATTGTTTACTCAGGGAAATACATCTCTTTCCCATCCCACCATAATTCTAGTATGTTCCCAACTGCATGAGGGACACTATATGCATGAATTAGGATTGAATAAATTATAGCATATAATCCCTACATTAATCATACCACAAAGATCTGTCTAGGAATGCTCTCAAATTTATGAAAATGTAAGAAATAGATTAAATAGAAAATGATGTTTTGGTTTTTATTTTCTACTTTACACATTTGTCCAAATATTCACAAAATAAATAACATTCTTTCCCATTAAATCACTTACTGTTTTAAGTTCTTGGCGCAATTGCTGGTTATAATTTGTGGATTCTTCTAATCGAGCTTCTAAAGCAGCAATTTTTTCTTCTTTTATTTCAAGAGACTTCTTAAGAGTGGATTCTAATTTTGATTCCAAAAGTTTATACCTACTATTCAAATACAAAAGTAATATGGTTCATCACTGGAGGCTAGAAAATAATTTTTAAATATAATTATGACCACAAAAATTGATGCCATAAATAAGCCTTACAAAAGTCTTTTTGTTTTAAGAGACAAATTAAATTAACTTCTTTTTACTGCCCGAATGAATCCCTCTTAAAAAAAAAAAAAAAGTATTCCTGGTCATGAAGCAATAACAACAACAACAAAATCAATAAGTGAACAGACCTCCAGAATACATCCTAGATTGTCGAAAGCAACAATTTATGCTCAAAAAAGGAATTTGGAAGATTTAACTCCAAAATATTCCTTTTTGTTTTATAAGATTAAAATCAGTCTTATAAAGTGGATGGATTTTTCAAGTCATCAAAGGATTTGCATCTATTATTAAGTAAAGTATTTACACAAAGGCCAATGAATAATTAAGAATTAAAAACTATTGAAGACTATCTTTAGTGTACAGAATAGTTATATCAAAAAGGGTAATGACAGGTCCATGATATAGGATGGCAATAGAAAGATAGATGCAACCATCAATATTCTAGTTACACTCTTTTTGAATGATGGAATGTGAATAAATTATTAGATAACATTTTTAAAAAAAAGGATGGCATATGAACATAATTTGAGTGTACTATGAACCAAATATTGATTAATTCATTTCTTATACCTAAAGATCATGAAGACAAAACCAAATACAAACTTAAAAGTATATGTAAGATAAAGGTGTAGGGAAAGTGGGAAGGGTAGGGGAAAGGGAATAAGGGAAAAGAAAAAAATATGAGAAAATGAAAAAATGGAAATAAAGTGTCTATAAATGGGGAGAGGAGGAGGGGGTGAAGGGAGGGCAGGGACAAGGGGGAAAATGAGAACCAAGACCTGTCATGTAAAGGTACAAGATCCCAATAATAAATGTAACTGTACTGTATTCCTAAAATGTACCAATAAACTCTATTTTTAAAAAAAGTATATGTAAGACATTTTAACACATTCTGTTATAGTAATTTGTATGTATATAGATTTCTGCTCGTCAGATTTTAAGTACACTGAAAACAGAGAATAAATATCATTGTTAGTATTGGTTTGAATCAACAATTTTTTGGGGGGGACACCGGGGATCGAACTTAAGCCCTTGTGTTTGCAAGGCAGACGGCAGTACCACTAAGCTAAATCCCTGGCCCCAACAAATATTTTTAATGCATTTATTAAGTTTGATTTTGGATATGTTAAAATGTGATATGGGTTGCTTCTGGACTATCCTGACAGTAGTGCAGAGTAAGCAGAGAAAAGTAAAATCTCAGGTGAGATGATAGGAATGCTCAACACACAAAATGAATGGCCAAAGAACTAAAAAGAAAACTACAGGAAAGAAATGCAATAAAAAAAAAAAAAAGACACAGGCTAAAAAGAGTGATCATATCTATTTAAAACTCTACCACCAAACTTACTTTCTTGCATTTTAATGTTCATTTATACATTCAACTCCATAACTATCCTATAAATTCCTTTATGGCAAAATAACAATAACAGCTGTATCTTCAAAGGAAGTCAGAAGGAGTAACATTAGAAAAAGATGAAACTAATAAAGTAATGATAGATATCATCTAAGGTTGATATGATATAAAAAGTGGCAGATTAAAAGAATTGATGTTTGTGAACCTTTCTTTGTAACATAAAAGCTTACACACTATTAAAGAAGGTGGATTAGTGGCTTAAGACACTTTCCTATTTCCCTAAATCTGATCATGGTTATCATTTGCTCTCAATCCCATCTTCATGTCCAGTGCTTTCATTATATAAATAGGTGCAGAAGAAATCCATCATATTATGCCTTACATCTTTCTTATCTCTGTAAAAAGCGCATGCTTTATGTTTTTGTACAAATGTGTCTGTCTGAATGAAATGTCCTTTGCTGCTGTTTCCACTTTGAAAACTTCTATCATTCTTTAATGCTTCAGCTGAAGCCTTATTGCTTTTTAAATTCTTCATGATCAACAGAAAACAAAAAGCTCAATTAACACTATCTAAATGTATGAATTAGTTTGGGAAGAAGCGGCCAAAAAAACAGACCACTCAGACCCAGATTAATAAATTTATATCAGAATCAATCAGGGCAATGGTATAGTTTTTAATCTGTTTTCTTTTGTCAAAAACATGCAGTGCATAACAGGAATCTAAAAGAAGTGGTGCATAATCAGTATCTACATGAAAAGGCAGTCAATTAAAATGGCACTTTGACTTTTCTGATTCAAGCAAATATTTTCTCATGAAATATTCTAAGTATTAATTCATTAATACTTGCCTGACTTAAACAGAATGTTGGAATGAATGCCTAAAATTATTTCAACTGTTGCACAATTGACCTTTTAATTTTTTAGAAAAAATTTTGGGTACGGGGGATCAAACTCAGGACCTCAGGCTTGCCATGCAGGTGCTATGCCACTGAGCTAAATCCCCAGCCACAGTGTAATTTATTTTTAATATTTTAAAAACTACATTAGCAAATGCCAAATAATAAGCATTAGTTTTTCCTAATTTGTGTTCTTGAGACAGAGTCTATGTAGTCCAAACTGACCTTGAACTATGTAACCCAGGCTACCCTTGAAGTTGCAGCAATGGCTTTTTAATTTGTATATACCGTTCTATATACATTAATATTGAATATGTTTCATAACAATAATAATGGGTAGGTAATAAAATATAAATTATAAAAATTCCAATGAACTAAAATCCAGTCTATATATAAAATAATATTATTAATAATAGAGAATCCATTCTAGCTGGAATCAATTAGACCAATGGATGCTAAGCAGTATACTACCTGAAAATCAGAATAAATCTAGTTGATAGGCTAATTACTGTGGAAGTATAGAAATATTCTTTAAATCTATGTTAATCATTTTTAATTTAAAGGGTATATAAGCTAGTTTTTATCTTGTTTGTAAAGTCTGTTTTTAACATAATTTTTGTTTTATTTCTCAGTATATATTCCCTTGTTTCACACTTTTCCTCCATTTTTTGAAGTTCCTATTCTGACGAAATAAAGCACGGAGGTATTTAAGCATATGATACAAGTGAAAAATAACTTGAGTATTTTATGAGAGGGAGGTTGGTTGTTGATGCTTTATTCTATTTTCATTATAGCCTCTGATCTTCCACTACATGGTGACATCCTGTTTTATAACTGTATTTATATTATATTAAAATTTATATACATGATAGAGTTGTCTTTGATTTTTCTCTAAGGGAAGAGTTGTTTCTGTAGCCAGTACTAAGTGTTTTCTCCAGAGAGTACAGGAAAGAACTTGAGCAAAATAATTTCAACTGTTTGCCAAATAGTACTCACCTGTCATCAGTACTTTGTTCATCATGTAAGAGTCTCTCTTTATTTAACCCTATCTTCTCAAGCTCATGAGTTAATTTTTCGAGATCATTGCTCATTTGTTGAGTCTTCAATTTTTCACTCACCAAATCCTTATTTTAAAAGGAATGCACAACTCACTTAAGTGTCAAGAACATAAAAATCTAAGAAGTCAGCCAAGATTCTAATTGTTATCATCCAGGAATACATATAATTTGAACCAGGGATGAAATAGATACTGTAAATGAATCTTTCTATTATCATTAAAAAGTAATTAAGCAATGAAGTTACAGCACAGGTGAAACAATTCTTTCTGTTCTTGTGCTAATACTTTTTAAACCCTAATGTTAAAAACTAAATGGGAGAAACTCTTTTGAATATCCACATTAGGTTTGAAAACTGTTACAGAGAAAATAAAAAAAAAATACACATCTTTAATAATGAGCAGAAACTTTAATGCAATTCCTTATTACGCAAGTACACTGTATAACACTTCCTGTCGCAAGTCCCTTTCTCCAGGTGGAAAAGCTAAAATATTGATTTTAAGAACTAGATGTTCTTAGAAGTTCAGGCACAGAGAGGCTGGGAATTTAGCTCAGTGGTGCCACTGCCTGTCTCCCAAGTACAAGGTCCTGAGTTCAATCCCTTGTACCATACACACAAAATCAGGTACAAGGAACTTCATGTCTGCACAACTACTGAACAACAGAAAGAAAATAGTAAGGTCCCTTCATTGCCTTCTTAGCATAAATGCAAACTGCCCAATGCAACTTTTAGCCAGAGTGAATGCTTTTTTCCTCCTTATTGAACATAAAGGGTTAGTTATCAAACGTTGCAGTGCATTATCAGAAAAAAAAAAGCCAAACATACTATCTTATCTATACCAATTGTGCTTTAAAAGATATATTACCAATTTTCACTCATAAATCTTCAGAATTATTTTTTTATTTTTTAGGCAGGTTTCACTTTTTTCCAGACTGGCCTTAAACTCATTTGCAGCACAGGCTGGTTTGGAATTCTCAGAGATATTTCTGTCTCAGCCTCCTGGGAGATGGGATTATACTGGGGCTACAACACTGGGTTCAGAGTTATTCTTTTTTTTTTTTTTGGTACCAGGGATCAAACTTGGGACCTTGTGCTTGCAAAGCAGGCGGTGGAACCACTGAGCTAAATCCCAGCCCCAGAGTTATTCTTAATACACAGATCCTTGCAACTATCAGTTGTTCAGTATTTGACCTTTAAATTGAAACTTGATTTGCATTTTTTTGCTTTTTAAAAATTCATGGGGTCTAGAATCTGAAAGATTTGGGTTTGAATCTAGAAATTCAACTCTGCTGTGCAATCCTCAATGATTTTGAAACTGTTTTCTAATATGAAAAAATGAAGATAATATAAAAAAGGACTGGTTAAAAATTATAAACACATGTAGTTCAACTTATATGTAATTCCTTAGCAAAGTACTTGGCACACAGCACTCAACAAATAGTAGCTATAATGCCTTCTAATATATTTAGTATTCAGTAAAAGGGCTTCAGATATTTTACTTCAAAATTAAAGTTCAAAATTCTAATGAAATTTACTAATCAGCTATTCCAGAAAAACTTTATTACTACAAAGCTTTAAAAATAGTTTATATTTTATAAAATCTTACTTAACTATACTACTTGTTACTACAAGTCATATAATTTTCAGAGTAACAAAAATAGGAAACTTGGAAGTTGTTTTTACTGATGATTCCAATTAAACTTAAGCAAATCTGGGGTTAAAATATAAATAAAATCTGCCTTAAATTTAAGTAAATATATTTACCTCACGTAACGTAACCAAAGTTTTTAGGTCAATAGTTGCTCTTTTCACAAGTTCCTTATTTTCTTTCTCTAATTCTTTCAGACGAACACAAGAGTCTTTATATATACCAATTTCTTTGAACAGGGTTTTGTTTTCTTTTTCTAAATTTCCAATCTTCACATTATTTTCTTCTAATGTAGTATCTTTTATTTCTGCTTGCTGTCGTAGTCTCTTATTTTCTTTCTCTAATTGTTTCTTATCCTTTTCTAGTTGTGATGTCTCTTGCTCTAATGATTTATTTTCTTTTTCTAATTGTTCTAGTCTTTTGCTAGATATTTTCAATTCTTCTAGGTTTTTTTGCAATGTTTGATTTTCCATTTCTAAGTCTTGTAGTTCACTCTCTAACTGCTGGATTTTTTTATTGCTATTTTCCAGAGCTTTCTGTAACCTTTGATTTTCTGTATCTAATCCCTGGTAGCTAAGTTCCAAGCGCTCTGTTTTCTTGAAAGATGCTTTCATGAGCTCCAAACCCTTTTTAAGTTGCTCTTTTTCACTTTCTAGCTCCTTGTTTTCTAGTTGTAGCTGAGCCATTTTCATGCTTGCACACTTCAATGACTCAACATTCCTTCGCAGTTCTAAGTTTTCCACGTCAAGTTGGGAATTCTCTTTTTCTAATGATTCTAACTGAAAAGTAAGGTTTTTAAAGCTATCCAATGTTTTTTTTAATTTTCTATTTTCTCTTTCTAGCTCTGAATTTTCTTGCTCTAGGGCCTCTATTTTTTCACAAGTAATTTTTAAATTAGTTATCTTTTTCTGTAACAATTCATTTTCTTTTTCAAGATGATGCAACTCATTTTCAAGTTCTTCTGCCCGTTCTCCTTTTTCTTTATAATGTTCCAATTCTTTTCTAATTTGTCTTTTTTCATATTCAATCTTGTTTAGCTTGCTACTTGTTTCTTTAATTGACTCATGTAGAATTTTGTTTTCTTTTTCAATGTCTTTCACCCTTGCTTCAGCACTTATTTGAGAGCGCTGTCTCAAGGAAGACACTGTCTGATTCAGATGTTCATTTTCCTGTTCCAATATTTTAATCTAATTAAAAAAATAAAGAAGAAAAATTTAAACTAGATGAGCAAAAGCTAAGTATTTCTAATTACATACTTTTTAACCTTCCAAAAACTAATAGGGAAACAACATAAAGGAGTGCTAGAAAGGACATGTTACTTTTAATTTGACAAGTATTTCCTGAAAGACTACTGTATATATGTATTATCAGCTCACTTTAGTTCATGTCTTTGTGTTAGTTCACAATTTAAAGGAATGGTTAAGAGACATGTATTTACTATTGATCAAAATGGTCTTCAGATTTATAGTTAACATGCTTTAAATTCATATATAAATAAAGATGAAATACATACACATACATCGTTGAAGACAAGGTTTTACTTTCACCAAATAATTTATTTTTCTTGTTTTGAGACATGGTCTCCCTTTATAGCCTAGGCTGCCTTGACCTTAATGATCCTCCTGCCCTAGCCTACCAAGTACTGGAATAATGAGTGTCACCACACCAGCTAAAACTTTTTATAATTTCTATACAAGTAGGTTTTCAGTAAATGTGTGCACGCGTTTGTGCATGTAAGTATATTCATTCCTAAAAATAATGGTAATTAGATACTTCTTTGTGATACATTTGATAAATTCATTTAACTTGTAGCATAGCTTAATATTGGAAACTTGTAAAAAAAAACAGACTCATACTTAGCTCTAGAATTTTTGTTCTGTACATTAGAGAAATGTGAATTATTACTAGTAGTCTGAGGACTAGGGAAAATATAAAACAAATTAAAAAAAAATTCAAAATGGCAAGTCACTCAATCTATCCAGATCTCAGTTTCCTCAAATATAAGAATGATCGGGACAGGGACTTAGCTCAGTGGTTCCGTTCCTGCCTCACAAGTGCAAGGACCAGAGTTCGATCCCCGGTACCAAAAAAAAAAAAAAAAGAATGATCAATAAAGAGTTGAAAGTAAATCTGATAGTATCTAAAATGTCTGCTGCCACCATACTTCTCCCTCTTTAGTTGGGTACAACTGCATTTCTCTGCAATTCTATTAAGGAAGGGCTTTAAAATCAGCAGTACTCTTCTGTAGATACTTCTTAAAAGTACAGGTACAGGGCTGGGGATTTAGCTCAGTGGTTCTGCCCCTGCCTTGCAAGCACAAGGTCCTGAATTCGATCCCTGGGACCAAAAAAAACAAACGAAAAAAAAACAAAAAGTATAAGTACTGCAAAATTTTATTCTAGATTATTGTTAAACATGCTGGCAATTAACTAAATTATCTCTCCAATTTTTCTAAAATATGATGTATAGAAAATGAGGTACAATGACATAATAGCTCCTCCTTATCAATGAGAATATATTCAAAGATCTCCAGTGTATATCTAAAACTGAATTGTACTGAACCATGCATGTACTCCTTCCTGTTGTTTCCTCTACACACCTACAATAAAATTTAATTTACAAATTAGGTACAGTAAGTGATTAACAATAGTTTATTGTAAACCTCAGCGTATTTTTTCTTATTCATTTAAGAACTTTCACCTTTTCACTTTTAACAGAAGCACTTAATAGCTTTCCTTTTCTTGTTTTTCTTTGTTTATTTTGAGACAAGGTCTTCCTGTGTAGTTCAGGGTGACCTTGAACTCACTAGGTAGTCCAGGTTGACCTTGAATTGATGGGAATCCTCTTGCCTCAGCCCCCACCAAGATCTGGGGTTACAAGTGTATGCCACCACACCCAGCTCTTGGCATATCTGAATTATTAGTATCATTTATCTTAAAATTAGGGACCAAGAGAGTGCACTGTGACGCTATGACAGTTGGCCAGAAAAAACAGTAACAGGGAAGATAGTATATACAGCATGAATACTCTGGACAGGATGATTCACATTCCAGGCAGGATAAAGCAGAAGGTCAGGAGAATTCACCACACTACTTGGAATGGCACATAATTTAAAACTTACAAATGGTTCATTTATAATTTTCAATGAAAAGCTTTTGGGATGAGGTTATCTATAACTGGAACTGTAGAAACCAAAACTTTACATACTATGGAGGAACTGCTGTTTTTACTTTAAATTCTAAAGAATTCTAAGATATTTTCTTTTAATGTTTTATGAATATTTTGTTTGCATATACTTGAACTTTTGTTAATAAATTTTAAAATATGTTCTTTGCTTAAGTAAGAAATTTATGAACCTGTCTCTCTGAATTTTCTCTAAGTGTTTCAATTGTTTTTTCAAGCTGTGCCTTCTCCTTCATTAGATCCTTGCTCAAATTCTGACAATTATGAAGACTTTGCTTTTCTTGAATTATCTCATTTTCAAGGATTTCAACCTAGAGAAAATTAAATCACAAAACAAAATGTAAATATTTTGCAACACAAGAAACATACCAAAAGATAATCCTTGAATAAAGGATAGAACTTTAATATCCAAATGGTAAAATTTAAGAATTCAGTATAAAAATTAGGTGCTACTGCATACTAATAATAGCTATATGAAATATATAGATATGATTTGCTTATCCTCTGAATATATTAGGGCAAATTTCTATTTCTAAACACAAAGACAAATCTAAATGAGTAAATGATAATGATAAACTATATGAGGACCGAGCAAATATTACTGAAAGATTCTTTTAGATTAAATGGATTTATAATGTGAAATTTTAATTGTAGTCACAGAATTTTAGTGAACAAGAGCAAGGAAGAGAATATAAAAAGCATAAAAGAAAACATGAGAAACTGTGGTATTAAATTCAATGAGGAAGGAAGAAGGAACTTTGTTTAAAATGAGAAAAGTAAGCATAAAGAGAAAAGTGAACGAAACTGTAACAAACACTTGTATTTTAAATTTAAATTTATATTGCTTGATGTATTTTAAAGATGTAATGTTACTGGTCAATAAGTATGGACTATCAATTACAAACTAGAAACATGCCTAATGATGGATGATATTACTATATAACATATTCAAATTATGTAATTCTAAAAATCTAGAAAAGAACTTTATCACTTGGCCCTACAATGTTCCCCCAAACCTCATATATTAAAAGCACATTTATCTTTCACTCTAAATGTACAATGTATCTTTAATATTGTTTCAACTTACGGAAATTTTTACATGTCCGTAGAGTAGATGTGCTAATCATTCTCATATAAATTAATACTATAAGAGGAAACATTATATTTTTGTTTACCTTTTTACTTAGCCTTTGATTTTCTTTCTCAAATTTTAGGATTTTGGAAGTATTGCCTTCTGTAGAATCCATATTACTTCGAAGCTCTTCTACAGTTTTTGTTAAACTCTGGTTTTCCATCTCCAACTTCAACAACCTACTGGATGTCAGCTCATTCACCTCATGGCCCAAGGATTTTTGTGGTGCTGTAATGTTGAAGATATGCTATCAGTAAGACTGTTTCCTCTTTGCTATTTGAAATATTTGAGTGTTAATGTTAAATTCATACCTCATCTTTATAAAAAATTAGTAATTATATAAGTAGACATAATTTCAAGGAAACACAAATGAAGAATTTTTAATATACAGAATTTAACCTGAAGAGATGACAGAGTTCCAGTTTTAGTTTCATGAGAAATTAACTACATTATACTCAACCAATCTTAGGTTATTTCAAAAAATTTAGGAGGGGGTGAAGGGAGGGCAGGGACAAGGGGAATAAATGAGAACCAAGACCTTTCATGTAAAGGTACAAGATCCCAATAATGAATGTAACTGTACTGTATACCTAAAATGTACCAATAAACTCAATAAAAAAAAAACAAAAAAAAATTTAGATACTACCTTGTAATCCCACAGAGTTACTGTGTGACTAAAATTTAAGAAATATGAAGCATATCCTAAACAAAACCTTCAAAAATTAAAAACCAGACAGAGGAACAATCCTAATATGGCTTGCAAAGAGTCTAAACAGTACATGCTGGTCATTTAATTGAAAATAAAAAACTGATGCTAAGCTTATATGGGAAGTATACTATTTTGCCAAGAGAAAACATTCTGTAAGCAGATTTCAGCATTAATTTTTTAAAATAAGAAAAACTTGGTGTCTACTTCTGTAAATTCTTTAAAATGAGACAAAATAGTTATTTTTAATAAATTTATAATAGCAGACTTATAAAATATTTTGATGATGTAAAACTACTAGGATAGGCAGAGGAAGAAAGATCACTTGAGGGTATGGTCCAGAACAGCATAGCTGAAGGTAGATTCCAGCTAGGGATCTGCTCTGAGCCCAAAGGCTCGGGCAATCCTGCCCAGCCAAGGTCAGGAAAGAGCTGCAGGGGTGCAAAACCTTCAATAGGACGCCCACCCCATAGCATCAATGGTTTGAACCCAGGAATTGGTGTACTGGTGATTAGCAGAGAAAAGGCATCTTGGTAGCTTGGTGAGAATTGAAGACCACTGGGTGAGCAAAAAGTGGTCTCAAGAGAGGCACAGCAGGCTGCATCTACTGAAATGAGAAGACATGGAAACAAGTCCCAAAACCAGACTTCCAGATCACCTAAGGCAACCACAAAGGGAAAAAAGGTGGAACAATCTGATATTCAACTACCTCGTCTTCCTGAATGAGCTACAAAAGAGATCTGAAAAAAAATGAAGTCAGAAATAATTTCTCAGATAACAGCAGAGATTATGCCCATAGTGTAAGACATGATTAATAAATCTAGAGTGAACACAGATAAAAATAGAGGAGCTAAGGAACATGATGGAATCTCAACATAGGAAACAAATGGAATCCATAAAATAGATGCAAACAGACTTCCAGGAAATTAAAAACTCCACTGAAAGTTTATGCAGAAGAATGAGCCAATGCAAAGATAGAATTTCAAATATAGAAGAGAGGATTGCAATTAGTGAGCAAGAAAAGAAAAATTTCCTAAAAATAGTAAGGGACCATGAGATATCACTCCAACAGCTGCTAGATGATGCAAAGAAAAATAATGTAAGAGTGATCAGAGTCAACAAAGAAACAGCAGAGTGTGCAGACAACATTAAAAAAACTTCACAAAAATAACGGCAGAAAACTTCCCAAGTAGGGAAAAACAATTTGACATACAGATAAGTAAGGCATATAGGAATCCAGCCAATATGATATATAAAAAAAGTCTACACATAGGCATATAATGGCTAAGATTCCAAAAAGCCAACCAAAAAACAAAATTCTGCAAATAGAGAAACAAATCACATACAAAGTAAAGCCTATCAGAATCACAGCAGACTTCTTAACACAAACCCTCCAGGCAAGAGCTTGGAGTGATGTATTTCAAGCCCTAAAGGAAAACAGCCTCCAACCTAGATTGATGAATCCTGCAAAACTATCTTTCAAAACTGATGGAGAAATAAGATACTTTCATGACAAAGAACACCTTAGAAACTTCATGAATACCAAATCAGCGCTCCAGAAAAGTTTAAACAATATACTAGGAAATGACAATGAGGATAACAACCCCAGGAAGCCCAGCACAATGAATCCATCTGGCATGACAAGAAATTAAATGAAAAGGGAGAATCCAACAATAAAAAAAAGTCATGACAAGGATAAGTCAATACATATCAGTTATAGCCACTAATGTTAATGGTCTCAATTCACCAATCAAAAGAAATAAACTGGTGGCAGGCAGCGACATTGTTCCACCCCACCCCCACGCTCTCAGATCCCCTGACTGTGCCAGTCCTTGGACCTACTCCACAGAGACATGGCTGGTTATAAAGGGTGATTTTTCTGAGCTCCCAAATTTGAACATCTTTAAAGAAGGGGCAGGGGAAACCTGTGATAGAACTCTCTGGAGTTCAACCCTGCAGGAGATTGAGGAGCTCAAATTGGTCCTTGTGGCCTGAGGTGAGTCTGCTATCCCTCTGCTGGGTATCTCTCCAAAAGAATTAAAAGAATCATACCACAGTGATATATGTGCACCCATGTTTATAGCGGCACAGTTTGTAATAGCTAAAACTTGGAAACAGCCCATCTGCCCATCAATTGGAAACTGGACAAAGAAGACGTGGTTTTTTTTTCTATAAAATGGAATACTACTCAGCCATAAAGAATGAGAAAGTAGATTCATTCATAGTTAAATGGGTACATTTTGAGGATATACTCCTAAGTGAAATAAATAAGTCACACATGTGTAAAGACTGAATAGTTTCTCTGGAATGAAAAACTAAAATAGTACTTAAGATCCTAACAAGATAATTAGCAATGTGAAATAGAAGAAAAGCGCTAAAGGTGTAGGGACAGTGGGAAGGGTAGAGGAAGGGGAATGAAGGAAAGGGAAAAAAATGTGAGAAAATGTAAAAATGGAATTAAATTGTTTGTAGGTGGGGAGGAGAGAAGGGGGTGAAAGGAGAGTGGGGACAAGGGGAAAAAATGAGCTAAGACCTGTCATGTAAAGGTACAAGATCCCAGTAATGAATGTAACTGTACTGTATACCTAGAATGTACCAATAGATTCAATTAAAAAAAAAAAAAAAGAAAGAAATTGCCAGAATGGGTCAAGAACCAAGAGCCAACAATATGCTGCATACAAGAAACACACTTAATTCAAATAGAGATTCACAGACTGAAAAGTTGAAGAGTGGAAAACAATACTCCATGTGACAGGAACCTGAAAAAATATAGGAATAGCTATCCTCTTTGCAGATCACGTGGATTTCAAACCAACACTGATTAAGAGAGACAAAAAAGTTTCCACTGCATTGATTTCTGCGCTAAACTTTATAATTTCCTCTCTTGTTCGAGCTTTGGGTTTTTCTTGCTCTTGTTTCTTCTAGGAGTCTAAGGTTCATCATTAGGTTATTTTAGCTCGCTCTGTTTTCCTAGTGTGGGCATTCAGTGCTATGCATTTGTGTTTATTTGTCAAAACTGTCTAATTTCTTCTTTAATTTCCTCTGTGATCCATTGATTGTTCAGGAGAGTGTTGTTCAATTTCCATGTGTTTGTGAAGTTCCTATGGTTTCTTGTGCTATTGATCTCCAGCTTCACTGCACTATGATCTGATAATATGCAGGGAATAACTTTGATTCTTTTGCATTTATTCAAACCTCTTCTGTGAGCTAGTCTGTGGTCTATCCTGGAGAATGACCCATGTGCAGCCAAAAAGAATGTATATTCTGATTTTGTGGGGAAGACACAAAAACAACTCCAGATGCACACAGCTACATCATCTTTGATAAAGGAGCTGACCATCCACAGTAGAAGAAAGATAGCCTCTTTAATAAATGGTGTTGGAAAAACTGGATCTCAACCTGCCAAAGATTAAAACTAGACCCTTGTCTTTCACCATGCACTAAATTAATATCCAAGTGGATTAAAGATCTAAATATTAAAAAAGAGTCACTAAACTTGCAGGAAGATAAGTTAGGCAGAACTCTTGAAGACACTGACATAGGAAAAGACTTTATGAACAAATCCTTAGTAGCACGGGAACTAGCACAAAGAATCAACAAGTGGGATCTCATCTTATTAAAAAGCTTCTGCACTGCAAAACAAATAATCAACAGAACTAAGAGACAATCTATAATGTGGGAAAAAATTTTTAGTAGCCGCTCCTCAGACAAAGGATTATGATCTAGAATATATAAAGAACTCAAAACTATCAGCACCCCCCAAATACAAGGACCCGATTCAAAAATGGGCATCTGAAATAAGCAGACATTTTTCAGACAACATAAAAGCAGCAAGTAAATATATGAAAAAATGCTTCACATCACTGGCCATTTGAGAGATGCAGATGAAAACAACACTGAGATTCCACCTCACCCCACAAAGAATGGCTGCTTTTAAGAAATCACACAATCACAAATGCTGGCGGGGTTATGGGGAGAAAGGAACCCTTCTCCATTGTTGGTGGGAGTGCAGACTGGTGCAGCCACTATGGAAATCAATATGGAGATGCCTCAAAGAGCTAGGACTAGAGGTTTCATTTAAACGAGTCATCCCTCTGCTGGGTATCTATTCAAAAAAATTAAAAGAATCATATCACAGTGATATATGCGCACAGTGATATATAGCAGCACAGTTTGTAATACCTAAAACTTGGAAACAGCCCATTTGCCCATCAGTTTGAAACTGGATAAAGAAGATGTGGTTTTTCTATAAAATGGAATACTACTCAGCCATAAAGAATGAGAATTTAGATTCATTCGTAGGAAAATGGATACATATTGAGGATATACTCCTAAGTGAAATGAATAAGTCACACATGTGTAAATACCAAATAGTTTCTCTGGTGTGAACAAACTATAATAGTACATGAGATACTAATGAAATAATGGACAATGTGAAATAGGAAGAAAAGGGTCCAAGGTGTAGGGAAAGTGGGAAGGGTAGGAGAAGGTAATAGGGGAAAGAAAACAAATATGAGAAAAT